CAGGATACACAGGAAATAACAACAGGATACTGAGCCATAGTCCTGACTGCAGGGAGGGTTTGAATGCCCTCCCAGGAAGTACCAGGTGACGGATAAGTGCTGGCAGCTGGGAGACACCCATAGGTGATTGACAATGGATCTGCCACTGTTAGGATCCAGAGAGCCTCCAGGTGGCACTGGAGCTAAGCCCTGCAGCTCCAGTGCCACCTGGAGGCGCTCTGGATCCTAACAGTGGCAGATCCATTGTCAATCATTATGAGTGAGTCTTCACCGACACGACAATCTTCTCTCCGTGCTACCACTCACAATGGAGAGTTCCTTGGCCACGGATGCCGGCTGATGTCATTGACCACATAGGATCATGACCATGAAGCTCTCACTCACACTAGTGGCGACCAGTTAACTGGCTTTTACGCTGCTGCGGGGAATTTATTTAAGAACTTTGGAGCTGAGGGCACAGGGCACCCCTGGTCCTACAGACTCCAAAAAAGTGGAAAAAGCACGTACAGCCTTCACAGATAAAGAACCTTCAAGCCGACCCAGCATTCTGTGGACTCACCTCCTGACTGTGAGATGGGGGATGTCACAGTTCATAAATCCTTGGAGAGAAGTTTCCATACCTCAGTGAAGGACCAAGCTTCTACCCAGCTTCTCGGGCTCCTTACTCAGGCTGAAGTTCCTTCATGGCATCTCCATCCCCATGTTTCACACCCAGGTCTCAGTCAAAGCACATGGTCACCCTCCTCAGGCAGCAGGCCTAGAAGGATCAGATCAGGAATATGTATACCCTTTACCAGTATGCACCACTGGCAATACACCTCCTAGAGGTTGGTCAGGGAGGTTTCAATGCTCCTAACTCTGATTTATACAGAAGGAGGTGATATCAGTTTTTCTGGAGTACATCTTACAGGGTCTCTACTGCATTGCTTCTTAAAGTGTGGGTCGTGGTTCTATAGCCGTTACCATTCTGCATTTCTGTATAAAGTATTGCTGGGAGTTGTAGTCCTCTATAGCTGATGACATTCTGTACTGCTGCAATGCAGAATGGCACCAGCTATAGAAGACTACAACTCCCAGCAATACTTTTTACATAAATGCAGAACAATCCCATCAGTTACAGAGGGTTACAAACAATGTGACTCAAGGCACATACCTCCATTGACTCTCCTCGCGGTGGGAACACATGCAGCAGGGAGAGGTGGTGGGCTCTGAAATCCAGTGTCTGCTGCTCGTTCCTCCCAGCCGAGGCCCCAGCGCTGCCCCAGAGTGTGCCTGCAAGCTGCTGTGCTTTCGCTCCCCACCTCCTCTTTCCTCAGCCTCCTCCGCCACTGCTGGGGCCCAGTCTCCTCCGATCCAGCCCGGCACTGCAAGAGCCCGGCCACCTCCACCTCCTCATGTTGCACCTGTATGGCTGATACCCCTGAAAGGGTCCCCGCCCCTCAGGCTGCCCGGGCCCCTCACATGAGTATCGCCCCCCCTAATGGTGGCCCTGCCTATTACTATTTCATAGTGTGAAGCTGCTCAGGTTCTGATGGATGGTAATGCCCAACACATGGAATATAATGTATTGTAGGGGTAGAAGGCGGAGCTGTGAATGAGGAACGGCGGCATCACTGACTGACTAGGGCAAGGTCCACTTTGCCCAATTGTGTCCACCATACAGCCTTCATGAGTCATAACCCGGGAGAGGGGGGTACAGTTTGGCATTGTCACTCTGCACACTGGATGACCTTGTCCCAACCATGTGTAGGGTTACGGAGTTCGGTGGAGATTAAGTTTGGCCATAGACGGCACAATGGAAGGAAAAGATGTTTCTGATTATGATCATGGCCACCAATGATAATGTCTTCTCTGCACGGCCGGAGGGGATGATGGGACAGTTGGAGGACGATGTTCCAGCTTGTGGATGACGATCCTAATGTGGAGAAGACTGAAGGATCGAAAGTGCCACACGTGATGCGCCTCTGCCAATGTTGGTGATAGTCACGGTGGACTGTTAGTTGAAGGTCAGATATCTCCTTGTCTGCTGTTCTTGGGGACATATCTGCCCATCTATAAGTATTGGGATCAGTGGGGGCTTCATATCAATGATTAGATTTGGGATGAAATGTAATCTTCAGTGTTAACGTTTATTTACAGCCCAAATGTTTTATTTTCTAGTGTTGGATGGAGTGGGGAGGGGTTAGAACCTCTGTCAGGTTTTATAGTGATCTGTGGTTGTGTCTGGGGAGAGTCACCCTCTCTATGTGTCCTGATGACCTTCGTCCCCAAGACAGAAAGTGATGGGAAATCCCTTCCTAGAACAGGAATAGAGGGAAATTCTTCCAATGGGGACACCTGTTCTGGTGACGACTCACTAGGAGAGGATTTCCCCTCAATTTGTAGAAATTTGTAATCACTTCCTGTAGTGTCTCTGGGACAGGAAATAATGGACTTCTCCAGAACAGGGCACAGGACACAAAAATGAAACACTACTTACAACCCTTCCCTACTTCATACTGAAAGTCTTATTTGACCCCAAAATCTGCCCCGTGTGTCCCATCGCTATGACAACTCATGACAAAGATATTGTGGGATGTGATGAGGAAACCAACAAGCTGAGATCACGGTGAAGGTTCAGAAAGTTTATTTAGAAGAGAAGAGTTACACAGTAAAAGTAAAGATGAGAAAGTAGAGAGATGAAGACACGAATATCATTAGACATGGCGGGTGGACCAAGGATCTGACCTCTTCATCTGACCTCCAATCCTGGACAGTTGTCATGGAGGACCGCCCCCAAACATAAACATGTGACCTATGACATAATTGAGTGAAGAATGTGTACAAGCAGCACATCATTCATTACAAGAGACATTCATTTCTGTCATCTCAGAACACCTCATCAGCTTGTCCCGCCTCCAGACCCCCAAATACCTCATTGTAGAACAAGGAGACCAACTGTCACTGTGTTCTACAACAAGACATTCCAAGGATCCGGAGAACAACCATTTGTTCTAATCACATCTTTCTGTAAAGTCCTTCCAGCAAGTCAGCCTGTTATTCTAGAAAGAACTCAACATGAGCATAGAAGCACTTAGTGATGTCATCTCATCATTAGTAACGCAGATCAGAAGGATTTCTCTTTATCACATGAATAGGACCATAGAGGAGATGTAACCATTGTTCTGCCCCATAAGGATCATAGAGGTGCCGGGACTGAAGGGGAGAATGGGGATTGTAGTCCGTCCCATCATTATATCTATATCCAATCATTGATCAATATTCCCATATACAGAAGGGGAGGGGTGACGGGGCCGTGCGGCTTCCACAAATATATTCTACTAACACCTCGGATTTACTACATATAGAGGGGAATTTATTAAGACCGGAGCAGACACAATCTGGACCAATCAGCTTCCAGCTTTCATTTTCACAGCTTCACTGAAGAAGCTGAAGATGGAATGTGATTGGTTCCTGTGATCAGCTGATCCAGATTCTGTCTGCTCCGGTCTTAGTAAATCCCCCCATAGTGTGTAAGGAGTGCCGGATATTTCTTTATAAAAACCTGACAGAGGTTCCAGCCTTCCCCACCACAGAAAATACTTTTTATTTCTGTCTGTGTCCCTGGTGTAGATTTTCCTTCATTTCCTATCCGGTAAAATGTTGTCACCAGGACAGGAAGTGAGGGGAAATCTCCCTATCGGGGCCCCGGATAGCAGTAAAAATGTGACAGAGGTTCTACTCCTCCCCCCCACTCCATCCAGAACTGAGAATTATAGATACATCTTAAAGGTGCAGGCTCCAGGACTGTCATCCCGATCCTGACTCCACTACATGATGTGTCACTGAACCGGAACAAGCATGCAGCCAGTGATGTCTGAATCATCTGAACTCCTGCATGCTTGTTCCTGGTCAGTGACACACGAGGTAGTGAAGTGAGGATCGGGATGAAGATAATATCCCGAAGCCTGACAAGCCTTATAAATTAGTAATGTCATTTCCTGTCCACTGCTTCCTCCTATTGGCTGAGTATTCCACCAATCAGATTCTCCACCCTGTGATGTCACCAGTCTCCGGGCAGATTTCTCACCTCTGATTCCCCCCAGATATCTTTATACAACCTTCTTCCCCTACCCATATCCCGGCATGGAGGGGCTCAGTGAAGGTGGTGGTGAAGGTGTGGAGGAGTTGGATCGGGTCACACAGATCATAAAAGGAGATCCGCCCGGCCTCATAATCCAGATCTATCCTGACTCTGTTACTGGAGACATTGCCGGGTAATCGGATCTTCTTCCTGTCATGTCTCACTGAGTACTGATTATAAAACCTCCACCTCTTTAGCAAACCCCAGGACTTCTTATTACATCCAATCCCTGACTGATCTCTCCTGTCTATACTGGGGTAACACATCCCGACTGTCCAGTCATCTTCCCCCCCGACATCCACTTCCCAGTAATGTCGCCCTGAGGAGAAACTCTGACTGCTCAACACCTGAGAATAATACCGAAATCTCTCTGGAGTTTTTGGACGTTTCTGACTCTGTAATGACCTGGTTGCAGTTTTCCTGTCATTTGATATATGTAGATAATTACCAGCTGTGCTCACATCCAGTAATATGTCTGTAACCCCCGACACCCCCGATGTTTGCTGTACAGCCCCAATATTATGTCCTCCAGCCTGGAGGTATGAGCGTTGTATGGTGGGGGTGGGTCGGGGACGTGACCTGGATGGTTCAGCAGTGATGTGACCTTTGCCCTTTGTACTAGAATGTGGATAGACATGTGTGCCTGGACCTTCCTGTACAATTACCCCAGACATGATATCAGATATACCTGTGTATAATGTGTGTGAGATCCCAGCCACATCCAGACCCCCTCCATCATGGAGGAGTCTATCATGTCTCTCTCTGTCCTCATCATCTCCATCCTCAGTATCACACAAGTCACCTGTGTCTGATTCCTGTAAGACAGTCAGTGGATCCGTCATGTTACACAGCTCCTCAATGTGACGCATCTTCCTGGACAGCTCGTTCTTCTTTGTTTCCAGCTTCCGAATCATATCCATAAAGGGGATGGAGATCCGCTCTGCCTGCCCGGAGATCTCCCTCAGGACTCTCTTCTCCAGGTCCTCCAGACGTCTCCTCAGGTTTCCGAGCAGGACTGTGATTTTTGTTGTTTCCCCCTCTGCTTTTTCCAACACTTTCCTCTTGTGTTTCTGCAGCTGGTAAATTCTTTTCTCAGCTTCTTTTTGCTCCGTCATCAGTTTTTGTTGAACAGTTTTCAGTTTTTCCTTCCTCATTTTAGAAGCCTCAGCCAACATCTTCACCTGGTGCCCGTGGTGTGCTCCTTCCAGGCTGCAGGACACACAGATACAGGCGCCATCCACACTGCAGTAATACTCCAGGATTTTCTTATGGACGGAGCATTTCCTGTTCTCCAGGGAAGTGGTAAGGTCACATAAGACATGTTCTGGTGACTTGCTGTGGACTCTCAGGTGATTGTCACAAAGAGAAGCTTCACACAGCAGACAGGATTTCACAGCAGGTACAGGAGTGTGAATACATTGAGTACAGAGGACCCTGGACTCCTCCTGATCTGGCTGAGCAAACAGGAAATTCTCCTCTATGTTACGCACTGTTATGTTCCTGTGCAGTGCAGGCCGCTCCTGGAACTCATCTCTGCATTCAGGACAGGAATATCCTTCAGACCTCTCCTGTGTATCCAGCACATGACCAATACAGTCCCGGCAGGAGTTGTGTCCACATCTCAGGGTTACAGGATCTGTATAAATGTTCAGACAGACGGAACATTCCAGCTCAGCTCTCAGATTACCAGACGCCATCGCTGAGACCAGAAGAGGGAAGTGAAAGTCTCTGACACTCCTTAACCAGTGTGACGGGTTCTGTACACGCCTACAAAGGCGAGGCTGAGACTCGTATTCATAGGAATCCTTATACAGAGAACACAGCTAATGCATGGGAGGATTCCTGACAATAATCTCCATATCTGAGGAAGAATAAATGTCATTTAATAATCTGTGGAAACGTTGTGTCAGGAATTTCCCTTCATATCATTAGCACATTTCACAGACAAAGGAACACAAAGGTGATGTATTTGGCTGTAATAGGACAAGTCATAACTAAGGAGATAATAAAGATTTGCCTCTCTCCATATTGTGAATGGAGATGAATTGATGTGTAGTGAGCATGTCAATGTTTATTCCTAACTGAGGAGATCATAAACATTAACCATCTCCTCATATTGTGAATGACCTGGAAGTGATCTGTACTGGGAACTCCAATGTTCATTCATAACCTAACAGATAATTAACATTTTCCACTTCTTCATTATTTGACTCTCCGCTGGAGACATCAGGCCGGCACCCCGAAACCTAGCAGCAGCACAGAGTATGTAGCAAATTAATATACTATTCTGCATTGCTGTATACTGTATTGCAGGTATTTGTAGTCCTCTATAGCTGATGGTATTATTCTGCATTGCTGTATAATGTTTTGCTGGGATTTGTAGTCCTCTGTAGCTGATGGTATTATTTTGCATTGCTGTAAGTGACAGAGGATGTGGGAGACACAGAACACACACAGAGAGCAAGAGTAGTTGTATGCACCCTTTGGCAAAGAGTTTTTTTTTTTAAAAAGAGATCAACATACAGAGTGTAGTCCGGCACAGCCAGATTAGGAGGACAGGGTCACAGGGCAGCATAAGTCCATAGGGTGTAAGGGCAGCAATCCCAGCACAGAAAGGTTAAGTTCACAGAGTCTCAGGGCAGCAATCCTGGCACAGAAGGGGTTAAGTACACAGGGTCTCAGGTCAGCAGTTCTAGCACAGAAAGGGTTAAGTCCATAGGGTCTAAGGGCAGCAATCCTGGCACAGAAGGGGTTAAGTACACAGGTTCTCAGGGCAGCAATCCCAGCACAGAAAGGGTTATGTCCACAGGGTCTCAGGTCAGATATCGGGCTCAGAAAGGGTTACGTCCACAGGGTCTAAGGGCAGCAATCCGGCACAGAAAGGGTTAAGTCCATAGGGTCTCAGGGCAGCAATCCTGGCACAGAAGGGGTTAAGTACATAGGGTCTCAGGGCAGCAATCCGGCACAGAAATGGTTAAGTCCACAGGGTCTAAGGGCAGAAGTTTTGGGCACCGAAAGGGTTAAGTACACAGGGTGTCAGGGCAGCAATCCCAGCACAGAAAGGGTTAAATTCACAGTGCAGCATTTCCAGCACAAAAAGGGTTAAATCCATAGGATCTAAGCGCAGCAATCCAGCACAGAAAGTTTAAGTTCACAGGGTCTCAGGTCATAAATCCCGGCATAGAAAGGGTTACGTCCATAGGTTCTCGGGGGCGGGAATCCCAGCACAGAAAGGGTTAAGTCTGCAGGGTCTAAGGGCAGCAATCCCAGCACAGAAAGGGTTAAGTCTGCAGGGTCTAAGGGCAGCAATCCCAGCACATAAAGGGTTAAGTTCACAGAGTCTAAGGACAGCAATCTGGTAAAGAAAGGGTTAAGTCCATAAAGACTCACGGCAGCAATCCGGTACAGAACAGGTTAAGTCCACAGGGTCTCAGGGCAGCAATCCCAGCACAGAAAGGGTTAAATTCACAGGACAGCAGTTCCAGCACAGAAGGGGTTAAATCCATAGGATCTAAGGGCAGCAATCCTGGCACAGAAAGGGTTAAGTCCATAGGGTCTAAGGTCAGAAATCCAGCACATAAAGGGCTAAATCCATAGGATCTAAGGTCAGCAATCCGGCACATAAAGGTTTAAATCCATAGGATCTAAGGTCAGCAATCCGGCACAGAAAGGGTTAAGTCCATAGGATCTAAGGTCAGCAATTCCGTAACTGAGGCTGGGTTCACACCTAGGCGTATAGAATATGCGCGTTTGTCGCGCGTTTCGTGCCACACGATTTTACCGCGATTCGCGGCAAAAAAAACGCACGTCAAGCACGCGTTTCCGAGGGCTACCTGGCTGTATCCCAATGGTTACACACGGCAAATACGCCCCAAAGAAGCTCCTACGCTTCCTACGCGCTGTAAAACGGCCAGGTGGGAACTAGGTCTGAAAGGGTTAAGTCCACAGGGTCTCAGGGCAGCAATCCCGGCATAGAAAGCGTAAATGTATAGGGTCTAAGGGCAGCAATCCCAGCACAGAAAAGGGTTAAGTTCACAGAGTCTCAGGGCAGCAATCCCAGCACAGAAAGGGTTATTACTCACACTCAGCAGCTTGATCCTTTCAGCTTGGCTCACTCTATGCCAGGGGGAGGTCCCTTTAAGCACACAGCTGGAGCCCCGCCTTAGCTCCGCCTCTGCTGTCAGTCAGCGTGGAGAGGAATTGCCTGTGTTCTATAAAAGGCTGTGAGAGGCGCAGGCACAAGAGGGGAGGAACAGGGGCAGGCACAGGTGATTGCTCAGCAACCAGCCTCACCTCCTAATGCCTCTGCGGCCATCAGGAATGCAGCCTTTGTCCCTGGGGGCCACCAGTGGTGAGAATACGGGGCCCTGCACCTGATCCTTTCTACACGGTGGCTGACATAGACATAGAAGCGTTTTGTCTGGTTGTAGATGTCGCCCAGAGGAACTTTGCTGTCTGTGTAGAACTTGATGTCCTCTCTCTGAATGTCTCGCTCACGCAGTATGAAGTCTGCAACTTCTACAGCTAGCACAGACCCACAGAGTCCAAGCCTAGGAATTGTGTGCTCAGGCTTAGGTGCCAACTTATCCTTCCCAAACAGAGACCCCCCCTCCCCCATGGGTGTGATTAGAGGGGTCTCTCACCTTGAGGTAGGTGACAGCTGCTATGGCCTCAGTAGATGCATCTCAGAAGATGTGACTCTCTCTTCTCTGACTTGCAGCAAGGGAGGTTGAAGTGTAGCAGCGTGGTATGTGGATTCCATCTGAGGCATGTAGAGATTGCTTCCAGGACCTCCATCCTGAATGTTTGTCTATTGGTAGTGGAGCGTCCCAATCTTTAATCGTCTCTGATACAGTGGTGGGCCTAATGAACAAAGGGCCCTGGTGCAAGATTGTACCTTGGGGCCCCCCCTCCGAAGGGAGCGAAACACACCGATCGATGGCGGTGTTCCATCAAAGGCTGACGTGGTGCAGCACAGCACTACGCCGGGGTCTATGTTCCTCTGTGCGTGCTCCGTGTTGTTGAACAGTCAGAGAGGTAAATTATAAAAAAGATAATAAGATAACTTAGGTTGGGAACTTATTGGACTTCCTCTTTCAGACCTTGCACGTTACTTGTAAGATTTACTAACGAGGTATTACTCCTAGTCACAGCCTCCAGTATATCTCTGAGGAGGACCTCCCAGTCATTTCTTTGCATCGTGGCTCCTGTTAGGCCACGAAAGCAAAATAAGAAAAGTGGCCCAATGGGATTGTGGCCCCTATCACCCATGTGTTTTTTAAACCTATTTATACTAAAATAGAGGTGTGTGGTGACTGTCATGTACCTGTCTCTCTGGGCCGGCTTTGCTGGTTCTTTCTGCTTTGTCTTTCAGGTTACAAGCTGCTTGCTGTTGCTAGGAAGATTTACCTCAGTTGCTGGACAGACCTTCAGTCAGCTGAGCACAGGATTGGTGACAGACTTTTGGCGGGAAAACAGCTGACCAATGAGTGTAACCTTTCCCCTCTATAGTCACTCCTGTCAGTGGGCGGGGTCAGCAGTTACCTCAGGACTGCCCGCTGGACTCACCTCTGGATTATCTTCAGTCTCCCTTTTGGATCTTTTCACCTGCTCACAGCCGGAATGGATCATTGACTTCAGCGTGACTTCAGAGGGCGGATTCTCCTGATGGGGGGACCGGCTCAGACATTTGTAACTATTCCTGACTACAGCTGCCTCGTCCATTCTTTCTGTGGCCCCTGCGCCCCCCATTCCTGATGTGTCAGCCTCACCCTGTGTACAGCATTGGGGCCTATACCTGAGGTCAGCCAGGAAACTCTTCATTTACCTGCAGGCGGTCTGGGATTTGTAGCGGGACTTTTAGGAGCAGCATTAGGACTGTCACCTGTGACCAGGGAGGATCTGAGCATTGCAGTGCTGCGTGGTCAAGATCATTGTCTGCGTTCTCATCACTCTCCAAGGGACTGCCGGGCGGAGGATTGTGAGGCCGGACCAGAAGTGCGTAAGTGTCATATCACCACCAGGATCGGGCTGCCACTAGGACTAGTCGGGGACCAGGGGTGTAGGACCAGAGACCTGAAGTGACAGAACGCAGGCTGGAGGAGCTACCAGGAAAGGCCAAGGAGGCCCAACTCTCCATCAGACATCCACAGCGCCAGTGTTCCTGCCACAGTGAGCGGGGTGGGCAGCGGACCTCATGCTGCTATCCTGGCCTGATAGCCTGAGCGTCAGAGGAGGAGGGGCCTTTCTCCAACCGGACCCTAACCTCATCACAAGAAAGGAGTGAGCTGAGGTCTGAGGGCCGGGAATGTATTGCTCTGGGTCATTCTCCCTCTGTGTCACTATCCTCCCTTTGTAAGGTAAAGTCTGTCAGTCAGGCTTCAGCCACCCCTTCCCTTTACCCTCATGTCTCCAGTGCTTCCCTTCCATGCTCATTCTCTCCTTCCCTTTACCCTCATGTCTCCAGTGCTTCCCTTGCATGCTCATCTCTCCTTCCCTTTACCCTCATGTCCCCAGTGCTTCCCTTCCATGTTCATTCTCTCCTTCCCTTTACCCTCATGTCTTCCAGTGCTTCTCTTCCATGTTCATTCTCTCCTTCCCTTTACCCTCATGTCTCCAGTGCTTCCCTTCCATGTTCATTCTCTCCTTTTACCCTAATGTCTCTGGTGCTTCCCTTTCATGTTCATTCTCTCCTTCC